ACAGTCCTGAGCTTAAATGGATGAGACAAACTTAGAATTGCGAATAATTAAGAATGAATCAGTTGCTGTGCCGATAGTGAGAACAAACACGACGGTGAAAAAAAAGCCTGCCAAAGAAATAAGCCTGAGCCGTTTACTTCATTTATACTTATGCGATTCTAATCCCGGACAGTAAACACAACACAAAAATCACGAAATACCCAGGAATTATGACATGAGAGCTCTCGACGATACTGCGACGCAGTTGAATCCAACATCCGACCAGTTTTGCGTTAAAAAAAAAAAAAAAAAACAAAGCTTTGCGCAGCACCTCAAAATTCATGAACTTAGATTTTGACGTGCTAGTACGGTGAGCTAAGATAGAGGACAAACAAAGCAAAGCACTCACTTTTGACTGGAGATACAAGGAGCCGCCTTTCGTTTTGTCATTTATGGCAAACAGATGCCTGTAACTCGTCTCCACTTCCTTGGCATTCAACGGGTCCTGCACGTCCAGTATCTTCATCGCTTCCTGAAACATTCTTTCCTGCTGCAAACAGACCAGTGGTGGAAAATCATCAATACTGTTCAGTATGGAGGGACTGGGTGTTACTGGGAAACGCTAACATTCCAGCCTATCTTCAGGTGGAAGCCTCGATCTTTAGCACGAGAGAACGAGACTGTCTGCCACTGCGCCATTCGTGATTCAAAGTGTTCGAAATGCAATGGGCAGACCTGCAGTGACATTCCGAGTCTGGCGCTGGTCTGGCTTGCTTGTTGGGTTTCACTGCCATTCTGGCCTGCTTGCTGGCCACGGCGAGCTGCTGCTGCTGCTTGCTGGCTTGCTGCAATGTATCAGCTGGACACTGCCAGTGTAACGATGAGTGTTCTCAGGTATATTCACTCCGAGCAAAATCGTGTGATGTGGAGAAGTGCAGAATTTGTGACAGGGAGAAGCAGTTACATGCAAGATGCTATGAGAGAGCCGAAACAACGGGGAAGGAAATGAAGTTAACAAGGCTGATGAGGTTAAGTGGCTAACAAAATATGAGAGAAAACGTTTCGGTTCATTAGATCGTGAGATGGGAAGCAAGGCTAAATAACAGTAAACACTGAAAGGCTGAATCACACAATATATACCATGCAACCCAGCAAA